GGGACACTTGTTTGGGGTAATCTCTACATCATAGTGGTAGAGATCTGATAGTTGTGATGAAATATTGAGGCGGAAGAAGTTTGCCCTTAACCTTATAGGACGGCCTACAGTACCATAGCCTGGTCTTTTAGGGGGATGTGGTCCACCATTTCCTTGTGTTTGACGAGCTATGTATTGGAGAGGAAACAACTTTATACATTAATTAACAAATTAATTAAAAATAACTTGAGATAAAGTACTTTCATGTTCCAAAACTGCAAATCAGATCTGGTATTTTTTTTTTTAAAGTACCATGGTCTTGAAGTAATTTAAATTAATCTGACTTGCAACCATTGGTAACAGATAGGCTGTCAATAATATTAATGCAGTCAGAACATTGCAAGAAAGCCCACTAAAACACTCCTCAACTTCAGTATCACTTTGAGATACACACAGACACTGCAGGCTTAATGCTGTTTAGTGCCAGTGTACAACAAACTCGGTCAGGTGCATATACAGTACAAAGTTTTGTGTGTGTTAACATTGGCTACGGGTAATAACAAAGTGCACATGTACTATATAAACAGCTTCATCCCTTTGATTGTCTTTCCAAGGCTACCATGTACATGTTAGCTGTAATCTGTGAAAAAAAAAATTACAACTCACAACTTTTACAAATGCTGACGGTCAATCTTCAGAATCAAAATTTACCTTTTGCAGCCAAGCTGGAAGCAAGCTTTGTTAATTGTTCTACATCTTGTTTATCATCAGCTGTGGTTTTTGAGACACCAGCTGTCTTAACAGAAGAAGTAGCAGCTGATACACCAGCTGTCTCAGCAGCAGCAGCAGCAGTCACAGTGGAAGGCACTGGAGTAGAGGCAGAGGTGTTGGAGGCTGCCACACTTTGAGGTTCTGTAGAGGATTAAAATTGATTGATAGATATATTCAAANGCATTGTGAAAGCAAAGGAATTCAAAGGAAATTTGAATTGCCCAAGCCCGTTTTCCTATGACTAAAATTGCCCTCTTGACCATCTCATTCATGTTAAACTTTTTAAACTCTGGAAAAGACGATAGCATCACACACTTGATGAACTAATTAACATCTTGTGATTAAGATAATGTAATGTGATTAAGATCATTCTTTCAAGGGGGCAAAAATGTTTGTCTTAACCCTCAAAAGCTGTCTTTGAGCAGCAAAGCCAAGAAAACCATTCGGCAGATTTGCCAGAGACTCCCTCTATTAGTATGACTTCTATTATATAGACACGTATGTACGTTAGCCGCCCTGACACACACTGCCTGCTCAAGAGAAAATTGAAAATATCTTCTTTCAAGACATATGATATTGATAGCAATTACAAGGATTTGAATTGTGAATATCAATTCTTTTCCAGATGTTTGTGACTGATCGATGGGCGTGGAGTAGTAAAGATGGCAAGCAGCATCTTCCAAAGGAGTCGTTTCAGTTACCATCAGTTGAATGGATATGGGAAGGAGATTGGTACATAGATCATGGAATCGATGCTGATAATGATGTAATTGATTTTCTTATGTTACATGTGATGTAATGGAAACTTCAGCTGATTTAAGAGGATATTACATATCAAGTCTTGTAATGATATTATTCTTTTAATTTTATGAAGGGTTGGCAATATGCTCTTGACTTTCCAAGAACCTATCATTCAAAACAAAGCAAAGTTTCTTGTGTTAGAAGACGACTTTGGTCAAGATACTACAGATTTGATGGCTATGATCGGTGGATTAAGGTCAGTTTAACCATACTGCTCTCAGTTTCAAGGGCTAAAAATCAATTGGAGCATGTACATTTAGATTATATATACATTGATTTAGTTAGTGATGAAATTATCTTGAATTCTAAATTTTCAGATTGATTTAATTTTGGTAAAGTTATTTTGTCATCTGAAATGGTGAAAAAATGTTCTGTTCTCCTAAAAGAGTTACTTCAGTGCAAAATTAAGGTTAAAGTAGACTATCAAAATGTTGAACATTGTATATGTAGGTTCCTGGTCTTAATGAAGATCCAGTTAAGCAACCATTTCAAGATATTGCTGTTGGTGGGACAGCTATTCCTGGACAGGAGCCAGGCTACTTGGCTGTTTGGGCTGTCACTTTTCATGGAAAGGTCAGTTCTACTTGAAAAAAATGAGTAGTGTTTTCTTCAAGAAACATCTTACAATAGATGGTTTAATTATACCAGTGTTGTTCTCTGTTTCCTGGTGGTATTGGTTCATCAGGTTTAAAAGTAAAACGTTACAATATTACTGATGAATACCAGTGGTATCCTCCAGGTGCAAGTTATACTTGTAATCTTAATGAGTTAAGGCTTGAATCTACAGTTGAACCCCTTAAATAAACACAGCAAAGAGCCAGTGTCCATATTATGGAGGTATCCATGTTATAGACTGAAGTACACTGTAGAGATATATCTGATGATAGAGATGCCAACTGTACTTTTCATAGAATAAAACCTGTGTGGAAGTGTCTCTAACAATACATGTATACTTTACATCAACATGTATTTGTGCCCTAAGTTAAGTTACTAACTGTTCTTGGAATAGTACAATGTTAGCTAGCAGACGGGATTTGAGATTGTTTTCGGCCATGCATTGAGGATGTTTTGTTATTTTAATCTGTTTTCACTTGTTATTTTTAGGTTATTTACCGTTCTGGAGTGTCAGAAAAATGTCCTGAGGGTGACAAGTGGATAGACATACCCTCCCCCCAAGTCAGCATTTTTCAACTGTCTGTGAGCCCATCAGGGGTGGTGTGGGGAGTTACCTGGGAGGGTGTGGCTGTGGTAAGGGTTGGTGTCTCTTATTATGAACCAACTGGTGAGGAAGAAATTTACTTTAATTTACTTTTCGAGACATGGAATAACACTTGTGCCTGCACTACACTTAATACAAGGAAGAAAATAGAAATAGAAATAATTACAATGATTATAACACAAAATGTTTTAAACAAAAGATATAAAATAAACAGGTACTAAATAAATGTATATACGTAAAGAATAATATCAGAACGAGAGAGTTAAGTCAGCATGTCTCAGCTGCTTATTTAATTATTTATATTTTTACAATTTTCTTCCTTGTGTTAAGTGTAGTGCTCGCGCAAGTGTTATTCCATGTCTCGTGCTTCCTAAAATTGTACGTAAAATTTGTCAAAATTTTGAATTGTATCACGTTTTACTTATACGCCATTGCCTGTATTAGTTCAACCAAACTTGTTAATGAATTCACAACTGAAGGTGATCATTGAATGATCAAAACATGTCTTGTTTTAAACTTAAAGTTGTTGTCCATTTCTTAAAAATAACTATTTATTGAATGATTTTTATTTTTGATGAAAAGCAGTCAAATATAAACAGGAAATAATTACAGTGAAATTATTCTGTCTGTTCCTGATTGTACTAACTGATACAGACTAGACAACTAAAAATGCAAATAAAATTTATAGACCAAGTGTAGTGAAGCAAACAGTTCTTATTAATAGTGCAGAAATGCTACATTTGCTGAGCCTCAACTAATAAAATATGTAGTGAACTAAATGTAGTGAAATAAATGTAATGAAATAAATGTAGTGGGCTAAAAATTTTGTTGAAGATTACAGACTATTTTGTTATGGTTAGTGTTGGCCCTTTAATTGTATTATCATCTGAACGGTTTATTTTAAGGAACTTGTCTATTTGGCTGTAGGCTCCTTTGCTTAGTATTAGACAAGGCTCATGTCATGGTCTTTGTGAAACTCATCTATTTTACTTTCAACAGAAGCTTAATCATATGAACTGAAAACTTCTTATAATAACAACAATAAAGATGTTGACTTTATATTGAAACAGAAATTAGAAACAAGCAGCAGTACATGTATATCTTGAGAGAACATGTACATGTGTATTTGACTGATCTCTAAATTTAACTTGTTAAGGATCAGCTTGGGAAAAAGTTGCATCACCCATTATATCAGCAGAAGTGGGACCTTGTCAGCTTTTACAAGTGTCTGCAGGCATGAACAGTGTATGGGCCCTGACAAAAGATGGCCAGGTAAACTAATGGCCACAAGTGTAAAGTAAAACTAAATAGTCGTGCATTGCTCAGTTACTACAAGAAAGGCATTTTATTCTTATTTTCAAACATAAAAATAGTGTACACATAGGCAGCCTTTTTCGTTATCGTGTTATGGTAACAAAAGCATGATGTTATTGCTTTGTTATAAACTTCTGAAAAGGTTGAGAAAAAAGGGAAAAAACTTCTACTGAAGTAAACTGCACAATTCTCCTGTGTATCATTGTTTTTGGGGGTTGTGATGTGGTCCATGACAACCCTGAAGTAACAGCTACTAACCCAGAAACTCCCTTCTGAGGGCTCTATGAAGCTTCCTTTAGTGTCTTGTTCTTGGTTTTCAATTTGACAAACAACACCAATCTAATTTGTAGTTAGTTTTGTGTATGTAAACATCAGTATGGAATTGGAGTTGAATCGTGAGTGGTGGAAAAATTGGGATCATGAAGAGGACATTTCCGAATAATTTTCTATAAGTTACAGACTGCAAAATACATGTAGGAGTTACGTGAGAAAGGTACTAGCTATTGCTCTAATTGAGGCTGGCCTACTGACAGTGATGAGATGATGAGCTAGACCGAGCTAGACATAATGAAGAATCAGTAACCTGGAGACAGTTTATCATGAGGATAGGACAAAGATCGAATTGTGAGTCTCCAGTTGAATGGGGGTCGAACCCTTGTGCACTCAGGTTGGACCAGTGCACAAAAATAAAGGATTCAACCGTCATCAGGGACTCGGAATTGTTTGTTTGTCCCATGCTCTTGACAAACTGAATACAAGTTACTTACTACAGCCTACTGCCAGTGTAGCTGATTTGTTATTTCTTCATAGGTTTGGTTTAGGAAGGGTGTGTCTAGGACAAATGACCAAGAAAAGGCTGTGACTGGATCAAGATGGGTGGAAATGGTCGGAAAATTTTCCCTCATTACCGTGGGATTGAATGATCAAGTAAGTGTGGCCTTTCTTTTCTGCTGATGGAACTCTTAAGAAACTTGGAAATCGTTCTCTTGTTCTCTGGTTTTCTTGAGTTTTTTTAATCCATTGACGCCTGTGCTGGCCATAATCGGCCGTGACGAGCGTTGACCCTTGTTCCACTTCTGACGTCATCACCTTTGACCAAAATTGGCATCACTTGTACTCAAGTTCTGCAGGAGGAAAAGATATTTCCAATGATACCCAGATCACAGTGATTGGGTCAATTGAGCCTGAAATACGCACGAAAATGCTCAGAAATTGGATTGAAGAACTCGGAGCAAAATTTCCCTCAACTACACTTGGCTACTCCGTGGTAAGAATTGTCCGTCTTCATGATGCTTTCTCGGAACTAGCAGCAAACCCAGAAGAAGGTCAACAACTGCAACAGAAAGATAAGAAAAGGAGAAAAAGGAAAGGTGGAAAAAAATTTAAAAAAACTGAAAAGCCCAAAGACGTAGGCCACTTTCTCGTCCAAAATTAAGACGAGAGGACCTGCGGGGAATCGAGAAAACACTGAAGCAAGAATGAGAAACAACGAGAAACTCGACTATGATGCGAGGTCTGGGATTTGAACCCGGATCACATTGGTTGAAAACAAGTGTTGTTCCCTATTAAAGTAACATAAAACCATTTACTTCTGTTGAGTGTATCACGTTCCCATCCGTAACACTTAAGTTACTTGTTACCCAGATTTCTCGTGTCATGGGCTTATTCTGCTTTAGCATGCACAACATTTGGCAAAATTTTTAGCTGCCAGGGAAACAAGTGGTCCACCTGAATGACCTGTAAAGCGGAGTGGGAAGAGACGACATCAGCTCTTATTTTTTTTTTTTTAATTTGCCGCTGTCATTTTCGTGCAAGAAGCATCAACTACTCAGACTAATCCAGACAGAAAATGATGTTAAATTGTTATAAATAAGATGTAATAAGGACTCAGTTTTATGGTTTTAATACGTGTAGTAGTTTAACAAGGCGCTCAAGATTTGTTGCTTTGTCAGGTGTTTGCCCTCAGTACTCTGGGAGACCACATCTATTTCCGTACAGATGTGACGCCAAATGAACTCGTAGGAAGAACATGGAAGGTTGTACATATGAACAGACCTCAGATATCATGCAGCCAAGCCACCAGCATGGATACACTCAGTTCTGTAGATAGCAGCAGCAGCAGCAGCAGCAGCAGTCAGGCTAATGAAAGTATGGCTTGTTATGTCTTTTAATACGGGAAAGATTGAAAAGACTGAGAAATATTGGAAATTCTGCGTATTTTGTCTAAACCAAACTAAACGTGGCATTTTAACAGGAAACCCACTGAATACATGAAATAGACGCGATTTTATAAGTGATACAACGAGTGAAGCTATATAATAAACGATACGAATAATTGGCTGCCTAGAAACTGAGATAGGAGATTTTCTGGCGGACATTTCTCTGCTTGGAAAGTTAGGAGTCTGGAATGTAGCGCTGTAGATAGCTCCAATGATGTGCCTTATTTGTCGTACTTATTACTTGTAGGTGTATTCACCGAGTATGACGATAGATATAGTCTTGAAGCTACCTGCAGTCTTCCTTCCAATATCGAATTCTTGACTTGGCTAAGTAGCGGCGCCTGTGAAGTGGACTCTTCCATATTTACCGAGATCAGCGGCAGTCTTTTGTCTTCAGCTAGCAGCATGAATCTTATAAGTCTGAGCAGTAGGGATGCTGCTTGGAGGAAGAGCTTAATCCAGAGACTGCGTGCGCGGGACCAAACAGAAACAAGCCGCTTTGTGGAGCAATATGAGGAAGCTATTTCACAGGTGTGTAAAGAAGCTTCTGCTGTAATGAACTACACAGGGTGTTTGTAAGGTTTAGTTGAAAAAACGAACAAAGTCGCTGTTGTATTTGCACAAGTCCAGTCGCAGTTTTGTTTTCTTTTTTTTCTGAGAATTGTGAAAACTTGAACTCCATTCTAATTCATTGTTATGTGCCTTTGCCTCACAAGGACTGGGGCTACCGAATTCACGAATTTGATTGGCTGAACCGATATTGAAAGCGGTCTAGATTTTCCCATCTAGACCCCTATCTAGACCGGTTACATTTTGCGGTGAAAAAGTTGCAAACTAAAATGCGAAAAGATTGACTTTTTTCTTCTAACAATATTTATTTATGGAAGTGCCAAAAAGCCTGATGAGAAAAAATGTAAAGAGGGCACAAATTAAGTTCGGTTCATCGCCGTTCGCAAGCAAAATGTCAGCTAGTACAAACCAGTTACATTACACGAATTAAGAGCAAATGTACACAAAAATCAAAAATAGTTCGGTAAGGCTTGAAAAATCGAATTTGCCCTACTGTTGCATATAAGTAGGCCTTAGTAAAAGTA